TTGAAATAATATTTTATTACAATACCAAAGAAAATAGAACGCTTTTTCATGTAGATAGATCAAGTAAGACGGTCATTCTCGGACCACTGTTCACTACCTAATTTCGTGGCAATTTTTATAGTCAAAGTCAAAGTCAAAGATTATTTATTCCATAGGTAAAATAAATTTACACTTGAAAACGTCACTTTAGGCTACTGCTCGTTCACTACGCTGATCTCCCTGAGAAGAACGAGCAAGAAACTCTAGGGATTGCTCTTTTCAAATAAACTTAAATGCTATGGAATACACTTTGAATCAAATTTGTGTGGATTCTGGAGCCATGTCGTCTTTCCATACATCTTTATATAACACGTAGTCTTCTTTATTATTTAAATATTCAAGTAAATTATTGTGTAATTACTAAACAATCTTTCACGATACAATACTCGAATATTAAATAATATTGCGCGATAAAATATCGATAATTGTTAATACAAAGATGAAACACTTGGAAAAAAAACCTTCGATCTTCAAACTGCGCCAGACGCTATGCCAACTAAGCAACGGAACGAACTAGCGGACCTCGCAAATTTGTCTATGTGTTTGTTGTCGGATCTTTGTATCTGGTTTTTAACGACTTTTTAACCGTAGCGCCATCTGTGAGAAATCTATGAAATTATTTCGTCACCCAGTTAGGCACCTTTACAGCTACCAGCCCTGGAGATGTCGCTATTAACTGTAATAAAATTTTTATTGATTGTCAAAATGTTTCACCACCATGATATTCAATTATTTTTTGTGAAATTACTCCAGTACTTTGTTATAAGTAATTATTATTACAAAGATCGAACACTTAGAAAAAATTCCTTCAATCTGGCCGGATTCGAACCGACGTGATCTAGCAAACCGAGCCAGACACTATGCCAACTAAGCTAATCGAATACTTAAATAATAAAAATACCACGGAAATTAGGTAGCGAACAATAGACCGACAATTACCGAAGAATGTACATTTTTCGTGTTTTTTTTTACTTAAAATCAGCATCTGCCGATTTACAAAAAAACTGCATCAGCGACAACCCTGGTCGCATCCAGCTACTGCCTTTCACATATCATCACTCCATCTGGCAGGAGGGCGTCCTACACTACGTTGAGCCGTGGTCTCCACTCAACAACTCGCTTCCCCATCGGTTATCGGTTCTTCGACAGGTATGGCCAGCCCACTGCCTTCAGCTTCAGCTTGCTTATGCTACCAGTTATATCGACTACCTTGGTTCTTTGTTAGATAATATCATTTCGTATTTTGTCTTAACATTAAACCTGTTTTAAATTTAACTTTAAGTAATATATTACAACTAATAAAATATAACAGAACGTTTGTAATAAAATAGAAAGCTTGAACGGAAGAAATGGAATTTTATTTTCTTAACATTTTTAACGGCGTTATTTTTTTCTTTTTATTTTCCTGTTTCGTGGAAAGGGCAAAAGGATTATAATCTCTTTGCAAGCAGCATGCAAAAGTAGCGAAGATATTTATAAAGCTACTTTTAAGTTATTTTTTACCAGGACAAGAAGCTTAGTGTAATTTTAAAGTGTCACTGACAGCTGCTAGTGTCGTCGACGGAACAGAAGACTACGCTTTATTAAAAAATTCTTAGCATCTAAGTAAATCTCCATGTAACTAGAGTTTTATTATTGAATAAACACTACCTGTGATACTTACAAACATATATAATAAATAAATAAATATAAGACAACATTACATCTGATCCTAAAGTAAGTAACTAAAGCATTTGTGTTATGGAAATCGGAAGCAACGAACGGTACCACAAATACCCAGTCACGAGACAATATAGAGAAGTTTCAGTAACCACTCTTACACACGGCGATTTTAAGCAAACGCGCGATTGTATCGCTACACTTGGGATTTATAGGCGATTGCATGATGCAAATGCGCGAGTCCATCTATGCAATCGCCTATAAATCCCAAGTGTAGCGATGCAATATTTGTATCGATGTCGCGCGCTTGCATCGCTGCTAAAAACCGCTCTTAGGGCCGTATTCAAGAACTCTACTCAATGCTCAAGTCAGGATTGCACTGGAAACACAAGCACTGGAAATACGACCCTAATGGCAGGGACTTGAGTATGATTTCGAGTGCTTTAAACCATACTCAAATCCTGACTTGAGCATTGAGTAGAGTTCTAGAATACGACTCTAAGCTTTTTACATTGACTCGACCGGGGATTTAAACCTGGACCTCAGAGACGGCGACACCATGAAGACCAATGTGCAAACCACTCGACCGCTCGCCGTCAAAATAAAATAATTTATAATATTGAAAGAATTATCGTTTTAACCGACTTCAAAAAAGGAGAATGTTCTCAATTCGCCTGTATTCTATTTGAGTGTATGTTACATGATTACTGTGACGTTTTTGATCTGATTTCGATGGTTCTTTTTTTATTGAAAACGGGGTACCTCAGTACTGGACCCATTTGAATTTGAAGAAGATATTACACCTTTAAGGGTGACGAATTAGGGTTAGGGATTATAGGAATTTCACCCGCTTTCCGTTAATCGATTTGAATAAAACTTGGCACAAGAATGTAGTTCCAATGAAAGTGAAATTTAATGGTGACCTAGAACTGATCTGATGATGGAAATAGCAGAGAGATGAGAGGAACTCCTCAACAGTGTACAGCAGCTACCTTGTATTTGGGCTCATATTTTGAAAAGGACTACCAATTATGCCTTTCAGTTATCGTTGAGGAGACCGCGATAACGAACACAGCGAAAGCGGAGCTAACTTTTGACGTCGGTTTTTTTAAATAAAAAAGTAATTACATATACAACATCGAAAAACCGATGTTTTCGTTATATTACTAACAGACAAATTCAATTAATTCTTCGGTCTCAGGTTTAAACCTAATGAGACAAGAGTGGTAACACCATACAAACGTAGCAGCGCGTTTGTATTTGCACAACGCTGATCACCCCAAAGCGCCTTTCATTATTATACGAATGTGTGCGTCCGTACAGAGGCGCGGCGATCGCGTACACATACCTACAAGCCGCACTGTTACTTTGTACGGAGTTACAATTTTTTTTTAATACTATATGACGGGACTTGCAAGTCGTATGCATGGTGGTAAGCGATACGCCTATTCATAACACTTGCAGTGCCACACAGAGCTTTAAATCGCAAAGATCTTATGGGCACTGCCGCTGCGCCCTTATTTAATCATGCCTAAAGCGCCTATAATTTCACCAGCACCCCTGACGTTTCCAAACCGGAACGCAATAATGCCCACATTATTGCTTGACGGCAGAGACAGGTAAGGTACTGGTACTTCCCTGGCGAACTCTTTCACAAGGTACTCTACTGTTACTAAAATGCATCAATAATATTAACAAAGTAATGTGTAAATTCACAAAAAATATATGAGTGGAATGGTCGTAAAAACATCATGATATGCATTGACTTACAAATAAATGGACGACGGGTCTAATACAAAAACCACGAAAAAAATGTCCCAAGTCAACCTATTCGAAATTTAAATTGTAATGTCATCGCAGTATCGCGCTGTCAGTAGAACAAATGAAGACTAAAGCGGAGTTTGGCGCTCTGTATACGATTTTAGCGCCTTACAAGTGCGGACACTTTTTAGCGCGGACCCGACGTCCATATAATTGTAAGTCAATGATGATATGCAATAAAATAAATATTGTAATGCGTATAAACAACAAAGAGTATACTGTAGTTCCGTCAAAAGACGCTTGATGGCGTTGACCAAATTTACTCAAATACCGAAACGAGAAAATTTCTCACTTCAGTATTACCATCAAATGGTGACTATGCCGACCGTATTTTGAATATGGGAGAGAATCACGGCACCTTTACGTAAGCATCAGCGGGTCACGTCCTTATGGGAACAGCTACATGGGACATAATAGAATTCCTTCGTTTAATATTGTGTATTATTGCCTCCGATAACGCATATGCCGCTCTCGTACTGTTGGATAGTAGGCGGGAGTTTACGTGGCATCACTAACCAAAAAAGGGTTTCGATCGGATTCGGTGTCGTCATTGATACACCCGATACTCTTATTATTTTGCCGCCATTTTGATAAAATTTAATTATCGGAAATAGAACTCGCCCCCTAATCCTAAATAAAAAAAAAACAACCTCTAATGACGCACTTATGAGATAAGCATTAAATTTGTACACAAATTAAAAGAAGGATGGCGACATCCCGTGTATTTTGTGACGCAGTGTTTTTGACGACATGCATTAAGGAAACCTATCTATACTTGTGAGTCAATATCAAAGCATCAAAAAAACTAATTAATTGAGTACAGCCTGTAGAAGCTGGGTTTATGTTTATAATATTGTCCTGTATTTCGTTTCAGATGCATGTTCGTTTAGCAGAAGACAACAAGTTTTCAGTTTGTTCACTCCGTTCACGACGCTTGGCGGGCGCTCACACATACAAAACGCGCTACTACGCTACGTTTGTATGGTGTTACCATTCTTATCTTATTATATTACGATAATATTGTTTTAAATAAATTTGAAAGCAGTAATCGCCACGAAACGAATCAATTGCGTCGTGTTCTTGCATCTATTCTAAAACACAATGTTTTACGATTTTTTTTATTCCCAACTTCTATTAATATACAAAAATATATTGATAACTAATCCTAAACTAAAACGCAAAATTATACTAGTAAAGTCCATGAACGGGTCTTCGTCGTTATTCGGGCAGCTTCCACCGTCCGCCTTTCTAAAAATACGATTCATTATTATAAATATTATTTATGACGTTAATGAATGATTAACAATTTTATTTTTAGAAATTTCAATTTGTGTACAAATTCAATATTTATCTCATACACTCAACCGAGAGCCGTTAAAGTGAAATTCAAACAGTATAAAATAAATTTACCATAACTTACTAATTATTTATTATTATCTCTTTCCAGCTTTAGTCAGCTTGAATATACTTTACAAACTTACCAGCTATCACGGGGATAAGCACTGCCAAAAGTAGCTGCAAGATCACAGCAACCGCCATGTTGGATGCCCTGTAACAAACAATAAGATTATTAATTTTACCAATATACATTAGTCATTAAAAGCATTTTTAACTTTTATCACATGAATGTCATAAAAATAATACAAGCGTGTACGTATATGAAAAATTTTATATCTCTTCTGAAAAATCGTAATTTTGGCGATGTGACCTTATTACACCAAGGGTACGAATTATTAATAGTAGATTTATTTATTATGGTACGATATACGATCGGTATTTTATATATATGTATTTAACTCTTTATAAATTACAACGTTTCACCAAAACTACAGATTAAATTAATAATTACCAAATCTAAAACAGGATTTGCAATGCCTGCACTCAAATATTTTCTGGCATATTCGCTAGTTCGTCAAACTCGAGAAATTAGCCAACAAAAAAGCATTTTGACATTTCCCCCTTGCTATTCGTTTTAACAAAAATGAAATAAAAAAGTAAAGCAAATCAAACAAGAAACATTCGTTCTGAGAGAGGTGACCGTTCGTCCTATTTCGGCACTATTTCGGACGAAAGCGAATTCAAAAATAGAAAGAACGTTTTTGAAATTCGAAGCCAGCGCGTGGTTAAATGGGGAAGTGATATTTGTCAATAACGGTCAAAGACAGTTCGTGAATGTTATTTCAACGAGACAAAAATATTTTTGCTAAATAACTGGTACGATAGCATGTCGTAGCAGTCGAGTTCTATCTGAAAGAGATTGTCCAAGGAAAAACTGCCACCTTATCTATTTCTGCCACCAAGTTGTAAGGATAAGGGAGCTGGTGAAATTATAATACAGGCACATAGAACTTGTCAACTTATGTCTCAGGTTGACGGTCTGAGCAATATTGCAACTGTTATGGACACCAGGCACCCGACTTGTTCGTTCCATCACTAACATAAAAAAAGTCTGTTCATGGAACCTGAGCAGACAGCTTGTGCACTATTCGAGCGACCCCTTCCAATCCTACACCCCAATTCTACAGCTTCAAGCCTCCGGTGGCCAGAAAGTTGATACCTACTTCCGCCAAAAAACAACCTTGGCTACCCAATGGAAACATCATCCTACGGTAAACGTTGTAACCTTTACCTAGATAAATTATCTTCTTTTCTTTTTTTTTATTTAGCTATATTTTTAACCGACTTCATAAAATGAGGCGGTTCTCAATTCTCTGTTTTTTTATGTATATATGAATCGATTTTGATGATACTTATTCTGTTACAACTAGGGTACCTATGTAGTGGTCTCATTTAAATTAGAAGAAATTATTCCATCTGTAAGGGTGTCAAACTAGGGGATGAATACGATTTCACGCACATTCCGGTAGCCGATCGATCAAAATAATATAATCAGTACAGAGTACTAAAAAACCGACCTCAAAAGTTCGTGGAGTAATTCCACGAACTTTTGAAATCTATTTGCCAAGTTTTATTGAAATCGGTTACCGGAAAGTGCACAACACCGGATTCGTCCCCTAGTTTCCCACCCTTAAAGGGGGAATATTTTCTTAAAACCTAAACGGGTACCCTCTTTCCAACAAAAAAAATCATAAAAAATCAAAATCAATCATAAAAATCAGTCCACAAATTTTAAGCCAGAGTTATCGCGTAACATACTTACAAGAAAAACATACAATCGCATTGAGAACGTCGAGAGAAATAAATGTAGGCCATACAAACATTTCGGGAATCGAACCCGGAAGCTCTGCGCGGCAGTCCAGCATGCTAACCGTTCGCCCACAGAGGCAGTTGAAACAACAAGTTGGTTCAACTACATCGATTTATCACCACATATGGCCTTATTATGCCAAGTTTACGACTTGTTTGCCCGGGGAATAGAATATTCAGCACCAGAACAACATAAAATGAAACTCTACAATGAAATAAAAAATCTCAAACAAAATTTGAATATTACTACAGATGAGAAACCTCGGATTTAAACAGCGCATGTTTGGTATTCATGAACTTAGTAATCTAAACTTGTTTGTTGGGTTAAGTATGAACTGTTTAAAGGCAATTTCGGAGTGTTCGTTTTCAATCGCCACTCATAACTCGTCGTCTTCTTCACCGTAATTTGAGATACACGAGAACTTTGTTTACGTCGTATTTTGCTAAACTTATTTTTTATTATTTATTAGCTCCGTGAGCAATAAAATTCTGAGAATTGAGCTGAGCGGTTTCATATATCGAAAACGATATGAAGCTTTCGTCGCCAACCAACATGAACGCACAATATAACGCACGGACAAACACACTCCCACGCACACGCACACGTACATACGTACATACAAGAACACCAACACGCACTTACCCACGCAGACCATGATTAGCACGGTACGGCCTTGCGTACGAACTAAAACCGCCCGTTTGCCCATCAATCCCCGAGAACACCCTAATACTGAATATTAAGCTCGCAGTGCTTTGAAATACTTGTTATAATTATTAATACAAAGACCGAATACTCAGAAAAAATTCCTTCGATCCGGCCGGATTCGAACCGACGACGCCTTCCAGCATACCGTGTCAGACGCTATACCAACTAAGCTACGGAACGAACCAGCGGACCTCACGAATTTTTCTATGTGCTTGCGCCGTATCTTTGCATTTGGTTTTTCAACGACTTTTTAGCCGTAGCGCCATCTATGAGTAATTTCACATAAAAATTATTGAATATCAATTCAATAAAAATGCTAGAAGACGTCGGTTCGAATCCGGCCGGATGGAAATAATTTTTTCCGAGTGTTCGATCTTTGTATTAATAATTATAACTAGTGGAGTAATTTCACAAATCACAATACTTTACAATTGTTTAAAACAAATGCAATACGTATAGTTAAAGTGATCAATTAAACTAAGTTAGCTTATTGCTGATACATTATATAAATCAAATCTCATTATGAATGAGATTAACATATTATTACTGCAGTACAATCAAGAGCACGTCAAGCTTGACACTTTGTACTTTGGACCGTTCTTATCGTAAGCGGCATAGAGTTGGATTTAAATCTAAAGTGTCAAGCTTGACGTGTTCTTGATCCTGTACGTAAAGTTACTGCTCCTGTTTAAGTACATATTGTGTATGTATAACTTAATAATAAGAAGAGACATACATTTCAACAGTAAATATACTTGCTATAATTGTGCTTAGTCCAGATCACATTGTGTAATTTTATTTTTCTTATACTTGTTGAAATTAAAGGATCTAACTAAGAGACAATTACGATTGTTTTATTATAATGTAGAGCTCATTACGCTGATCCATAATCTATATGTAACTCATTTTTTGTAACAAATTTCAACTAAGGGCGCATTCCCATTATGTCGTAACGTTTTATTTATCGTTGGACGTTGGACAACTGTCACGTCTAGCCTGTTCCCATATCACGACTATCTGTCGTGACTCTGTCGTGGACGTTTATTTTATCGTTGAACGACTGTCGTGTCTAGCCGTTCCCCCTAGATCGTGACGACAATTTATCGGTTCACGGCAGTCGCCTTGACGTTTGCACGACAGAATTGTTTGAAGCTGCGATTATCTGTCGTCACATTTTTATCGTCGCGTTTTATTTATCGTCTGACGACTATCGTTCTAGCTCTTCCCATTGACACGACTCTCGTCGTAACGTCATAAAAAGTCGTGAACGACAGTTAATCTTGTTGGTCTATGTATGAACAACTTTATTTAAATATACTAGTCACGACACTTTAAACTTCACGACTATCTGTCGTCACGACATATTCACCCTCACTGTAAGGCTAGCACGACAGAGCGACTTACGCGCGATACCAACGCGCAAACTCGCGCGGAGCGACCCGTGCTCCCACGGCCAGTGGGAAGCACTATAAGATAGAAGCGATATAAGATATGTTATACGTGTTGTTGTTGATTTTACCAAAAATTGTAATTTAGCAAGAAAGTAGAACGCCGCCGTCCTGTTTTTAATACCGTACCGTTTCTTTTAAAACTCCTCATAAATAGCAACTTCAGTAATCTTAGCTGTAACAAATCTGTGATCTCACAGAAGCTGCTATTTACGAGGTAAGTATGCTTTCATAGTTTATTAGGATTGCTTTTGTTTATGTATTCTAAATTTCAAATCACACAATCACCTCTCTCCTAAAAACTACAAATAAAATTAGTTGATTATAGTTGAAAAAATATTATTTGCACCGATGAATGTTTTCTCTTGGAACGGTTTATCCTTTCTATTACAATACGGTTATAAAATCATTAACATTTCTTTTACTCAAAGCGTACATGGACATAATGATCTTGATCCATCGTACACTCGTACGCGTAGCTATATCATAGATACGCTAATTAATTTTTCTGTATTCTGGTTGAATTATTTCTATACTAGGTCGTTTTTTTAAATCTTTAATTAGATCAACATAAGTCAGTATTTTACGACTCTCCTTACTATTCAACAAAGTTAGTTCCGCATCAATAATATCAAATTAAATCCCAATGCGTAAAAGTGTTTAATCTAGTTGTTTGCACTATACAAATAGCGCGTGCGTTACCGAGACGGTTCACTCTTTTGTCCTATTGTATTCTAAAGACGAAGCGATAGACGAACCAGTGCAAATTCTATTTTGCAAATTATCTTTATGCTTAAGAGGGAGAGTAATAAAATTTCACATTTACATAATTTTAATCATCATTCACCAATCGTATTCTAGTCTCTGTTGTCTACGATCTGCAACTTTGACGACGTCGTCGGTCCATCTCGTTGCAGGATGTCTTCCATTTCTGTATCCAAGTCTTAGCCCTATGCAGTTGTCGTTTTATTTCTTTTGTCATGTCATCAACTCTTTGAAATATTCCTAATAATACTAATTCGTAGATTATTGTGTATGTTCCGTTTTTACTAATTTAGCATTTAAGTTTCTAGCAGCTTAGATATTGCACCATAACAGACGCTGCCGAATCTATACATATGTCGGCACAGCAGCTGCGTCAATCAGGCACTGGATCAGCACACGTGGGCGTTTACTTAACCAACTTAA